TTAATAAGTTCGGCGGATGGCTTAGATTTATTTTGGAGGTTCCACAAACGTTGGCGTTTAGATATAGCTAAGTTATAAACTTTCCTATACCCCTCATTGTTTAAAAGTAACTTGTTGGCATCTTGTGTTGCCATTAAGTTTAATGTATGGCAAGAACATCTTCAATGCCTGGGAAGGTAGTCGAAGTCATTAATATCATAACTGGAGAGCCCAGAAGAAGACATTATATCTTCTATTGAGATATATTCAATATCAGAAACAGAATCTTCCTCCATTATAATAGATGGGCAGCTAAATACTCTAAGAGAAATAATTTATAAAGTAAATTAGTTAGGCATACCTAAACGCCTTTGAAAAGTTGCTTGCATTATCCGTTATTGTGCAGATATTTTTATTTTGGATATGGAACTCCTTAAAAACAGCTTAAGGCTTTGCTGATCACATCATATGTATGCCTACCTTGTAGTCTTTGGCAGGCTAGAATAGCTGAACGCCTTTCCAATTTCTTCACATCAATCCAATGTACTGTTATACCAATATAGGAGCTATTATTAATATAACAAAAGATAACCAAATGTATTGTGCCTTTAGTAAAAAATAATATTTACCGATTAAATGCTGTCCAGCAGTCAGCTGTTGTACAAACATAATTAGGCTCTAACAATTTTTCTATTAGAATATCCTTCATTTGAACAAAATATTTTGATATTCTTAAGGTTAAGGTTTGTCTGCATATAATCTTCATATTAGGTTGCAGGGTGTTTATCAGCTCAACAAAATCTTCATCATCACAGGTCGTATATGGGTGATTTCCATTTATTAAATATTTAATAATTTGTAAATCAAATTTATCTTTGCTGATACCTTTAAAATTTGATTTTCCACCAAAGTCAAGTTTAGTTTGTTTAACTTACTTGATGTGGCTGAATTAATTTTCTTATTATCTATGGTTTGTTTTATATTTACGGATTGGTTAGCATGCTTTCTCTATAGATATATGTTTTATATATATAAATATTTAATCAATATTAATTATTCTTATAAAGTTAATTCATTTAATTATATATAATATTAATACAATTTATGTAAACTTACAGAGATATGTTTCCATAAATTAGCTGTGGATGACTTAGATGCTGCAATATACTTTTTATATGGTAGGCATAAGAGACATTTTACTACCAGCCTTCTCTTTGTGGAATTCAAAATATTTTCCAAAATTTGGCCAAGGAAGGTCCTTTATTTTTGCAATTATTGTAGAAGGAGAAGGTATAATTTCTTCATCATCTGACTCAGAATTCATATTGTATTCTGTTTCTATCTAGGACATAAATATAAATAACACTATCTAAATTAGGAATAGAATAATCAATTAATGAGTGAAACATACAGTGCTAAAATGTGTCTAATTTATATATAATTTGATTATAATTAAAAATTTAGGCTAGTCCAAAAAATAAATTTCAGAAAGCAATCATTTTTTAAAATTTGAGTAATGTGCTTATGTTTTTGTTAGACTTGGTTCTTGTAAGTAATGATTAATAATTTAATATTAAATTCTAAAATAATCTGTCTTTGTTTTTCCTTATACTAAATTAAAAAATTTTTTTATTACGTATGATATGAAGTTCCAATGCTTGTTACTTGACGGAAAAAAATATATTGTGCTACATTTGTAAATAAATATAATATTAAAATTTATTAAATAACTTGAATTTGCTTACAAAATTATGAAGCCCAGCAGCAATGTAACAATTTAAGAAAAGAAAATCAATTTGAACGGGAAATTATAACAATCAGACATTTTCACAAAATTTTAATAAATTTAATTTAAAATTAATTTATCACAACATATTAAAAATAAAATTAATTATTTGAATATATCTTTAAAAGTAACTCGTTACTTTTGGCAGTTACATTTCAAAAATTATAACTAGTTACAGTTACTAGTTACAATTTTAAAAATATAACTAGTTACAGTTATTTTTTAGCCAAAATGTAACTAGTTACACTAGTAAAAATTTATTTATTAAATGAGTTAATATGTCAATTTAAAAAATAATCACATTTGTTAGTATATCTTTTAAGAATAAATAATAATATATTTAAATAATATAAATAAATATATAGTAAATTAATATAATAAATTGAGCATATGATTTAAAAGAAATATGAGTTTTCATAGTTTGCCCTTCAGTTTTTCTTCTTCCATCTGAATATTCCTCTCTTGTTCTTAATTGCTTTTCTTATCGCCGATTCTGTGATTAGGGTTTGGTTCTTTTGTTGACTTCCATCTGAATATCCCTCTCTTGTTCTTAATTGCTCTTCTCATCGCCGATTCTGTGATTAGGGGGTATCAGTCATTGAGAATATGAAGCTGAGGTAATTGGATTTTATTATATTGAGGGCTAATCTTTGGCGTAGGTAGTAACCCTCGTTGGGATCTTCGGTCCTAGTAGAGATCCGTTTCCCCAGCTTTTTAAAGAAGGCCAGGGCATGAGAGCCGAACGACGTTAGAGTCGTGGCGATTAGTGGTAGGAATGTGTAATTGGCCGGAAGCGATGGCGAATACTTATCGAGTTTATTCGTCTCGGCGTCTACTAGAGCATCTCTATTTATATTGGAAGGGGCAAGGGGACCGATGCATGAGAAATCCCAGGTTAGGAATTCCCCCCTCTTCCAAGGGATCATGGTAGAGCCATCGGGACGCTTACCATCAGAATTGTAGAGTCCAGTAGGTTCGAGGGTTGATGGGATACCGACAGATTTTAGGGCCCTGGCAATAGTATTGCATTTTGAATATCTAATGAATCTGCCTCTACAGCGCTTGCAGTGTAAAGAGTGACGGCCTTTGGAGTTGACCGGCGTTTGACAAAGGATGCAGTGATAGGGTATTACCATATCACAATTAAGTCTTAGACCGATGGCGTGACGTAGCTCATCATTGCTTAGGAGCTGGTCAAGGTTTCGCGATGGAAAAGCTTCGAGAAATTCATATCCGCTGTCTGCGGAAATGGAGAAGAGTAGAGAATGGTCCTCGGGTTGGCTCCTCGATTTAAGGTATGCAACGGAGTTGCCAACTAGAGGCTTATCCCAGTCCTTCTGCAGTGCCGATGAGGGAGGATCGACTAATGAAAGAGATTTCCATAGATCAATTGCCTGGGGAAGTAAAGGGTCAGGATGTTTTGTGAGTGCGTGTATGATGGGCTCGCAGGACAGGCGAGAGGATATGAACGCACTAACAGAGAGTAGGGAAGGCGATCGTATGCCAATGCCGCCGGATTTGGGTAGCTTGTAGCCAAGATAGGTCTCCGAATTTGAGATTGAGTATATCCTCTGTGAGGTGTTTAATCTCTACCTCGTGTGCAGCGAGGTTGACGTCGTATTGGAAGATACGTGACGATCGGAGTGTATATAGAATTTTTGGGATTAGGAGGTAGTTCTTTAATAGATATGATCAGATTAGCTTCTGCTTACAGTTATTCCACACAACGCTTGGTGGGCTGGGAGGCGAGATAGTGTACCGCGCATAAGGAATATCTCTAGTAGAGTGTCGGCGAAGAACTTGACAAAGGACTCGTCTTTACCCACTGGAGATCCGAGATGTGTTAAGAAGTTCAATGGTGTATGATTGAACATAGGATTATAGTTGAGGACGATGATTCCAAGAGGACAATATTCGCTCTTGTCTTGATTGAATCGCAGTCCCAAACTGCTCTAGCTGAATTTTATTATTTCGACCGCCTTCATAACTTCGCTGGGTGAGCCGCCTAGTATACCATCGTCGATATACCAGTTATGAAGGTTTAGTTTACCTTGGTCATTTATGCCTTGTATTAGGCTATTAATGCCCAGACAGAATAAAAAGGAGCCTAGAGGGTCACCTTGTTGTATTCCACTACTAGAAGGAATCAATCTATCTCCAAATTGAAGATGCGATGGACTAGCATAACAATCGAAGATGAATTGCGAGTATTCTGGGTAAAGGGTAAGGATGGGATTAAGAAACGCTGTACGTTTTATAGAGTTAAAAGCGTTTGAAAAATCTATCTTAATTAGGATATCGTCACTGGGGTCTGTTTGTAGATACATTCTGGCCTTAACATCACTAGTTTTTTCCCATTTATGGGTATAAGCATAAATAATATAAAATAATAATTTAAAAAATTACATTATGCTATAAAAAAACAAATTCAATATTATAATAAATAAAAAATATAAAAAATGAATCAATCAGACTTTGCAAAAGTAATTATTCAAATTTCAAATAAGACTTACAAATTAAAATTTGTAGATAAATTATCTCCATGCTTCATTATTTTTATGTTTATTTTTTTTAACATTAACTCTTTTTATTTGTCTATAAAATAATAATTTAAAAAAATTAAATTAGTCCATAAAAAACAAATAAAAAATATTACGAAAGAATGATTAAAAATGAATTAGACTAGGTAGAATATAGTTTTTTAATGTATATATCAATAAACATGTGAGCGACCTCAAAGTTCTGATGCAACTTTAGCTAGCCCATTTATGTTGCCCATAACTAGCTTGATTCTGAATCCATTTTTTCACTCAAAACGTGGTGGCGGAACAAATCTCCATAATTATATTCTTAATCTCAATCACATATGAATAAATTTAGACTCAAAATTGATCTCATTAAGCCGGCTTGAGCCAACTCTGAGCCTGCCGACTCATATCTCAATGAGCTGGCTCGAGCCTGCTATATTATAAAATTAGAGAAATATTATAACAGTTTTCCTTATCTAGGGGAACCAAAAATTATACCAAACATGAATCCACAAGAGATATTTATCACAGTATGCCATAATCTGTCCAAATTTTCAATCATTTTTTAAAATATAATCAGGGCTTTTCTACACTTTGTGAAAGTCTATTTTCTTAGGCACAAATATGATTACCCAAAATCGCAAGTCTTTAAAAGAAAAGACGATTAGGAAAACTTTATTTAAATATAATTATTATTTTGTTACCAGAAAAGATTAACTCTTCCGATGCTAGAAACCGCGCCCAATCGGAATTGAGGAATGCTTTCGAAATGGCTTTAAATTACATGCGAAACCATTTTTCTGACGCCGTTTTTGATTCCCAGCTTTGTGACGATGCCATCATTCCTATATGCCACTTTTGGGCCCAGGCGGAGACCCATATATTCAAGTTTAATTATATATTACTCGAATATCTTTAATGTCGAATACGCCCCCCTGCTGCAGCAATTTTTGTGGAACTGACGAATTATAATGGATACTAGTAATTAACTTGTGGAACGTTATCAACTTAAAAAATTTAATACCGGCACTGTTCTGAGTCTAATTTGCTCCCACTGTACCGGATCTATATAAAATTGATTATGAACTAAACTCCCACATAATTTAATAAAAATATAGGAGTTAAACACATCAAAATCCAATTAAAAATTATCGAAACTATATTTTAATAGTTTCATCAAAATATTATTCAGAATTGATGAAATAAAAATAGTTCTAGTCACCTTCATATAGAACCGCTCGACCCGAATTTAAAAGAAATGATTAAATATCCGGTTCAACACTAAACTAGCTTAGCTTTTTAGGCAGATTCGTAAAAGTGAATAAGTGCCCAGAGCCTAAATAATAATTTTTATTTAGATATTAAGTTGGTCCGATCCACATTTGGTGAAATAAAGATACGAGACAGGTGGTGGAAAAAACAATAGAATTAAGCTCATATTATGGACGGCAGAAAAGGAAGATAGATGGAACAAAGGAAAATATATGAGGAATGAATGAAAGATAATAAGAAAAAATTAAGCGAAATTAAAATTAATTACACTAAATAATAAATTTTTAAAATATGTTTTAGGGACATAGACCAGAGTCGTAAAGCTTGGAACCAATTAGTCAGGATCGCTAGTTCCTCTAGCCACATTTGGCTGGATTGGTACAACTGTGAAAAATCTAATGGATACATCGAGAATGCACGAAAGATTTTGTGGGTAAGCAAGCTCTTCATACAAAAGTGCAATGTATTTTAATGGTACAAAGAACTGCCAGCCTCTTATTTTTGATCTTGAGACAAACCAATTATGTATGGGTGCCAATCCTGCTTTCATTATAAAAATTAAAAGAAATAAAAAGCCATTATTATTTTTAAATTTTTCAGCAGTAAGACCACCTCCTAGATAAACTTAATTTTTGTATATACAATTTTAAATAGGAAGAGACGAGTCGGGAGACGGCCCAATATCCTTTTTTTGTGAGATCATAGGTAGTATCTTTTATGTTTATACACCCAAATATTTTATATCCCAATAAATTAGATTCTTTAATGCGGTAACTCTTTATTATTCTTCAATTAAAATATATTTAATTTATTTCCACTTTTAAAGACGCATCAAAAAAAATATAATTTACAATCCAAATTCCAAATATAAAATTCCAAAAAAAAATATAAAAATAAATTCCAATTATGATATTTTCCCTTTTTTTTTGTCTTTTATAGATTCACAAAAATAAATATATATTTATTAATAATAAAATAAAATAAATTAATTTCTAAAACAATGATGACTCATCCAAATACAATATTAATTTATATAGCGATGATTCATCAAAATTACAAATTTATTTTTAATCCTATGATTTGACAAATAATAAAACAGAATAATTTGATCATTAATAAAAATCTTACCCTTCTTGACACGCCCCCTTTTATAATGAGCCCAAGTCCCCCTCATCGCTCTCTCCTAGAATCCCCTCCAGTTCCTCATCCGTTATGAGGAAATTCAATATATCACCAACCTCTCTGCTGAATATTCCATCCGGGTCCCGGTCTACTCCCTGCGCCTCTTCCGTCCTTGAGTTCATGAGATAGGCATCCACCAACTGATTTCTCCCCGAGGTTTCTTCCGAAATGTCCACCACGGGCCATTGCATCTAGCCCAGAGATAGCGGAATTGGGTCTGCCTGCTCTCCCTCCGTTTGTCGTAGGATATCTGCCCTCTGGCCCACAATCTCGGCTACCGGTCGCATCTCAGCCGCGGCTACCAATCTGATAGGAGATGATACCCGGTACTCCGTTTCTTCATTTCCGTTTCGACTATCCAGTGGGCACCTACTCCGTACATGGCCCCTTTGTTGACATCTGAAGCATTTCCGTGGATCCTCCAATGGCTGCCCGGGAAGATGTTATTCTTGCCGTCCTGCGTTCAAAATTAGTTCGAGGCCGAATTATTAGCTGGATCACTGTATCCCCAATATACCATATTTTATTTATCGCCATTTTTAAGAATTCGGATATTTGTATCAGTTTTTCTCCACCAATAAAATTTCCAGTAATTACTAGAATAAATTACGAAAATAAAAAGAAATATTATTTTATTTTCTTTCAAACTAATTCTAAAGTGAATACTCGCAAACAAAATTTTTTTTTTATTACCCACGATTATTAAGTCATTCCCCCTTTTATTAAACTTGGCACTGACATTCCCGAATTTCGAACATTTTTCCCAAATTTTTGACACATTCTAAATAATTTTATAATTTATGATCTTGGCCTTTACCACATCATTCTTTTTTTTTCTTTACTTGGCAATGACATTTTTAAATCTCAAACATTTTCCTCCAATCTTTAACACATTACCGATAATTTAATAATTTATGATCTCGGCCTATAATTACTTCATAACAAAAATTCTTTTTAATTGATCGATTTTGTCAACTATTCCGTTGTCTTTAATTTTTAAATCTTTCATTCCTTTCTTCGCAAATTTTTATCTTTATTTTATTTTTTATTATAACCTTTTCCACCTTCTTCCCCAACTCATCTCCTTTAATGAGCCCATTTATAAATTTTTCTTTTTTTTTGACGGCGTTATTTTCACAGCTTGGTATATATTGCGCGTTAACATAGAACATATTTTCCCTGCCCAAATTGAGCACTATAAAATATATTACATCCCAATACCTATTAAATCTCCCTGCAGATAACGATTTCCCAAATTTATTCCGGGCTTCTTCCAGGATACCTATTCCATTGCACGTATATATTGAGCGCTATAATAGAGCAATTATTTCCCTGCCCAACTTGAGCACTATAAAATATATGATATCCCGATATCTATTAAATCTTCCTTTCCGATAAATGTTTTCCCAGATATTTTTCCATATAATAATTATTATTCTACTAGGAGAGAGCGATGAGGGGGACTTGGGCTCATTATAAAAGGGGGCGTGTCAAGAAGGGTAAGATTTTTATTAATGATCAAATTATTCTGTTTTATTATTTGTCAAATCATAGGATTAAAAATAAATTTGTAATTTTGATGAATCATCGCTATATAAATTAATATTGTATTTGGATGAGTCATCATTGTTTTAGAAATTAATTTATTTTATTTTATTATTAATAAATATATATTTATTTTTGTGAATCTATAAAAGACAAAAAAAAAGGGAAAATATCATAATTGGAATTTATTTTTATATTTTTTTTTGGAATTTTATATTTGGAATTTTGGATTGTAAATTATATTTTTTTTGACGCGTCTTTAAAAGTGGAAATAAATTAAATAAATTTTAATTGAAGAATAATAAAGAGTTACCGCATTAAAGAATCTAATTTATTGGGATATAAAATATTTGGGTGTATAAACATAAAAGTGGCACCCCAGACGTCGTGTACGGGAAAATATTTTTTTTTTTTGGAATAACGTGGGAAAACTAATTAGTAGGAAAAACGTTGTATATACGGAATAACGTTGAAAATTAGAAAAACGTTGTATATACGGAATAACGTTGAAAATAAAAAAAGCGTTGTATATACGGAATAATGTTGAATATAGGAAAAACGTTGTATATACGGAATAACGTTGAAAATAAAAAAAGCGTTGTATATACGGAATAACTTTGAAAATAGGAAAAGCGTTGTATATACGGAATAACGTTGAAAATAGGAAAAGTGTTGTATATACTGAATAACGTTGAAACCTAATTGATAGGGAAAGCGTTGAAGGATTGTGGAACACGTTTTTTTTTTAAAGTACATAGAGTGGCCAAATTACACGTAAATTCTGTCCATTTTTGCCAAAAAAAAAAATTTAAAAAAAACTCTTATCGTACGAAAGTACTCCCAAATTTTACAAGTTGTAAATCTGTTACACAAAATTTGCCCAAATTGTTGTCATATCTTTAAACTTATTAACTGTAGATGTACATGTACATCATTGGATTGTTTACACTCTTAATAATATCTTATCTGTTGACATTGCAAATAACCAAAATTTTTATTTTGAAATTGATCATAAACTTTTTATAGAGTGATGATGAAGAGTTTAAAATTTGTAAAATACTGGGAAATACAGTATAATATTTTTGGGGCATTGATTATACTAGTAATATGGATGTGTAGCTTAATATGGGGAAGAAGGATGAGGAGAAGTCGAAGTGTGAGAATAAAGGGGCAGACACTGACAATAGAAGGACATAATGGAGAAGAAGATATTATGGGAAAGGTAACATGGTTCCCGGTGCAGGAGTTAATTAATGGGTGGACGGATAGCGAATTAGATAAATTAACTTATAGGTTTGAAAGGAGAGACTCATATACAAATCAGAGATTGGGGACATATAGGGGACCTAGAGAAAATTCTCAAGGAAGGAAAGGAGAAATGAGACCCAACTTTGATTCTAGAGTAAGGGGGAGAATGAATTGTTATAATTGCGGAAGACAGGGACATATGGTCAGGGATAGTCGGGAAGCAAAGTGTTTCGAATGCGGAAAATTTGGACATATATCCCCTTATTGTCCGGGTAAACAAGAGAATTACGATGTGCCAGCTGTGGAAGATTTGGTCATAATAAAGAAGAATGTAATACGGGGAATTATAACACCAGAGGGGGATTTCCACAACGAGGAACGGGACAAAGTACTTCAACTGTGCGATCTATTGAAAGAGCCAGAGTGGAGGGGCTGAGGGTACCTAGGATGCAAGGAGTTGGAGAGCAAACCGCTGAATGTTTTAGATGTCAGGAACAGGGACATGTAGCGAGAGATTGCAGTAATTGCTGACTATATGATAGTAAAAAAATAGCGACTCAGGTCAAGGCGTGCCGAGTATTAAGAGCCGGGGAGGTGTGTTCACGAGGAAAAATAAATGTACCAGGATGCTTAAATATGATGCAGGAGGAGATAATACATGATCCTTGTCCGAGGGTCATGATAGATTTTAATGGGTATATGGTACCTATGCTTTTTGATACTGGGGCGGCTATTTCAGTGATGAGTTATGCTAGGTATAGGAGTATTTGGCCTGAGGAAATGATAACAAATGAGGGTTTGAGAATACGGCAGTTCGATGGGTCACAAGTGGCAGTAATGGGAAAAGTTGAAATAGAGGTGATGAGGGAAGGGGAGATGGAAATATTAGATTTATGGATCATTAATAGGAGGGTAGAAGCGGTGCTGGGATGGGACTGGATCACACGAATTGGTCCATGGTATAGTTTTTGGGGAGTATTTTCATGGTGGGGGATATTTGTGCCCATGACTAGTGAGGATATATATTATGAGAGGGAGGTCGATGAAAATTTGGGAATATTGCCGGGAATAGAGAGTATTTTTTATCGGGAAAGAGATGGGGTTGAGGAACAAAGAGGGGAGATGAGGAGGGACGTGCGAAGTAGGGCTGTAGGGGTCAGAGAGGAGGAGGTAAGGAGAGATAATGTGAGTAGAGACTTTGGGGAGAATGGGAGGGGAAGAGGAGGAAGGAATAATTATATGAGAGAAATCGGGGCAAATAAATCTAAGGGGGAAATAGGGGCGAATAATTATTATTCTAAGGGGGAAACAGGGGCGAATAATTATAATTCTAAGGGGGAAATAGGGGCGAATAATTATAATTCTTAGGTGGAAATAGGGGCGAATAATCATAATTCTAAGGGGGGAATAGGGGCGAATAATTATAATTCTAAGGGGGAAACAGGGGCGAATAATTAT